AACTAAAAGCTGCAAAAAAACATATTTTCAAAATATTTATTGGCAAATTTAGTCTAATAATTGAAAATATGGATGTAATAAAAAATACTAAACTAATGAAATACAAAGCAGAACACAGCTTAATGTATCAAAAGTATGTCTATGTAATATTAAAATTTTCTGAGACAATAAATTTTGGGTTTTCATTTTTTTTCAGTAAGAGGTTTTTATTTAATAGAATTTTTGGACCAAAAAAATCGCCTTGCTTACAGTATCGCAATATATCGGGATATATCGTATCGTGACCCCTCTGTCATGGTATGTATTGTATCGCGAAATTCTTGCCAATACACAGCCCTAATGAGGGTAGGACCRACTGGTAAATCAAGAGCTTCACCTTCTGGTTCAGCTCTCTCTTCACCACGACAGACTGGTACAACGCCCACATCACTGCAGACGCAGCACCAATTCGTCTGTCGATCTCCCGCTCCATTCTTCCCTCATTTGTGAACAAGACCCTGTTAAACGTTGCCATCTTTAACAGACTGACTCCAAAAGTTACTCTGTTCTAGAAGCACAGTGATAACTTTCTGAGTTTCTGTCTAATCTTGTTTGTTTCTGAAGTATTTAGCTAAAGGTTTTGTGTTACCAGATGGTGCCGAACTTCTCAAGAGCTTCCACCAGGTCAGCCTCTACCACAGCATCACACAGTCCTCGGACATGGACCACTGGAGATGGGGGGATGCGGTGACTGTCCTCCACATCCTCCTGAAGAGCAAARARTAGATTTAGAACAACCAAATCAYTGMGATTTTCTTTATTTTATTTTTTTGTTTGGAAATGCACAGCATTGTTTTAGACCAGATCACAATTGTTCCCTCAGACATGTCACTGTACACACGCCTGCTTTCAAACAGTGGAGCAGGACATAGAAACAAACAGGACATAWCACATAAAAGCAGTGGTGGGCAYCAGTCCGCTAAAGYGCAAATCCRCTAATTGTGGACCTAAATATTTCATTTGCGCTTTAGCGRTCTTACTAATTTTTATAATTCATAAGCAGRTTTGTGCTTTCCAAAAATAAAATGCAGTACCACTAATAACTAATTATCTACCAGTCATTGTTGAACAGCAGAAGGTATGACTGTCAATGAATCACAACACATGTGATCTATCCAACAGCACCCCTCCCAGATAAACACACTTATTGTGAAGGTATACATCCTGCTGACTGTTGCTCTCGGTCACGGTTCATTTCCCACAATGCTTTGTGTCTGCTTACGTAGCAGGAAGGCAGTGTTTAGAACTCTCTGTCCCAGCAAAAACAGTTAACGTTTGTAATCCATACTAAAATTTTGTATTGATTTATTTTACTTTACAATCGGAGCTCCTTTTTWAAAAAAAAAAGTTTAAATGCTGGAGCTCAATACTTGACGTAACTGGTCGAAGCAATGGGATTAGAGACTCAGAAATTATTTAAAGATGTTATGCTGATGAAGACTGGCATCTAGTGGTCAACTGGAGCAACTACATGGAAAACTTTAAAATCCAAGCTCTTATTTTGAAGATAGTTTCCTGTAATCCGTGCTTTCGTTTCCCGTCACAAATCAAACCCGTCACGTACCCAGAATGAATC